TAAATCAAATAACAGTAATGCAAAAGACTTAAGCAAACATGACTCTCTATTAAAGAGTATGTAGTAAGGACACTCTTTAACTCTATAAAAAATGATTAGAATTTTTAGTTTAAGATTTTATTAACTTTAAAATTTAATTTATTTAAGATAATATTATATTATATTTTTATATAATTAATATATTATTATAAATTTTATGAGTTTTAAATAGGCATAATAAACTTTTTTTAAGCTCAAGTTAGACCTATTCAATTAATTAAGCCTTTTAAAAATTTTAAATTAAGTCTATTATTTAAATAGGTCAAGCTAAGTTAGGCTTTAAAAAGAGTAGGCCATAAGCGCTATCGAATAGCCTAATCTACTTCTATCCCTACCCATTAGATCTCATGTGCATCTAATTATAATTAAGAAATAAGGTTAATTATGACTTAATCTTGGCTGGACAAGTATATTCTATGTTCTCAACGAGGTAATTATTAGGAGATTAAGTTAATAATTAGAAATTTTTGTTAATGATGGAATTAGTTCTCATTCAATGACTTTAATGAAACCATTACCATGGCCATTAGATTGAGACTAGATTAATTTCAAAAAGTAATTAAAATAGTTAAAAAGAAACTAAAAGAGATGAGATTCAATTGGAAGTACAAAAGTCATTATTGAGAACATTTTGGACTTTGCTAAAAGAAGCACATGTGTAGGTTAGTGGAATAAGAAAAAAGGAGACTAAAATAAAAACTATGCACTTGTGAGAGAGAGAGAGAGAAGTGAGGAGGGAAAGGGGCAACTACGAGATGCACGAGGAAGGGTCAACATCAAGACAAATTCTATATAAAGCCACGCATGCAAAAAGAGAAAACCTTTTATGTTAAAGTTTATATAATGAACAAAAATGTAACAAAACTCAGATATTAAGATGTAATTTTTTTTAAAGTAAATGAACTAATTCACAAATATTAATTATAAAAAATAAATATTTAATAAAAATTTAGCATGACGAGGGGAAAAATAATTTCTAAAAATGTTTTTATTTAAAAATAAGATAGTTAAATTGGGATTCAAATTGTGAATCGTAAGATCTATTTGTTGAATTGTGAATTAAATTGTAAATATAAGAGTATAAATTATTGATCTTGAATCATATCAAAATTAATAATTTGAAACATAAAAAACATAAATATAAGAGCATTGTAACATAAAGAAACATTTATATATTAACATTTTGAGGGTAATGATATATAGTTAACAATGTGACATACACTTGTAAGCAAACTAAGATTCAAAGCATAACACTCAATCACATTATAAAAAAAATGACTGCTCAGATTCAACATATAGTTGTTCAAAAAGATAAACAAAAAATGACAGTGAATCACTATAGCAAAAGTTCAAATGGATAATGTATGATCATTCATCATCCCCAAGATCCATATCACTTAGTTTATTCTCTTCATCTTCCAAAATCAAAAGTTCTTCCTCTTCCATCTCATGTCTAATAATGCTTTCAATTTCATCATCATCTTTTATTATAGATTTTTCCTTCTTATCAACTTTGGTATTTAAGTTTCTTGGACCTATAAAACTAAAATAATGGAACAAGCATGACAACATGTATTTGAGTAATTAACTTTTTAGTATTTTTTGGTTCAAGTTCTAATTCTAAATCTACACAAATACCTCTTTCTTTTCTTGCTTGGAACTCCCTCATCAAAAGTAAAACACTCATGTATATCCATTCATAAAGCATTATTTGGTAAGCATGAATCATCTTTTTCAATAATACATTCATTATCTCATTCAATATTAGATAAGCATATGGGATCATAAGTCTCTCCTTTTTCTTCTCTACACCTTTGTCTCATCTCTAATTGTAGGTTATATTTTTAACAAACACAAGTGTATTTAGTCTTTGTTGTTCCAAGCAGTTTTTTCTTTTAATATGCACTTAATCAGATGTACTCCAATTCCTTTCACATTTTGTTGCATTATATGTAAGACTCAAAATTCTCATGGCTATCTTTTGCAACTCTTTACCTTTTCAACCATAATTCTCTCACCAAAGAGCTATCAAAATTCAAAACAAAAAATGTATAAACAATTAGCAAAGTATGTCATGTTACTTATTGGTTTATAATTATTTGTAAAGTTAGCAAAGTATGAAGATTGAAGATTTATCGGATTGCTTCTTGTCTCTAGTGTCTATTGCCATATTCATTCCAAACAATCCTTTTGTTGATTTAAACTTCTCATTTGATTTAAACTTCTCATGTTGTTGATCGATTAAAAATTATCCATTTATCTGAAACCATTCTTTCAATGACTTTATATAAATCATAAAAAATCTCACTATCTCGATTAAAGCTCTTGTCATAATGAAACCTAACTAAACAATAAAAAAGAGTTAGGATGAATAGCCAACTATATGAATTTTAAGATATTAAGAATGTCTACTTACTTACCTACAATTGAGATGATATGCAATTGTATAGAGAGGTCTATGTATTTGTAAGTTCCACCTAGTATTAATGATCTTCCATACTTTCTTATGGCTTGACTTTTTCTTTTGGAAATTTTTAGCAATTTACTCTTTAGCTCTATCCATTGCTTCATAAATATATGGGATGACTAGTTTTGAATCACCACCTACAAGTCCAAGTACTTTCACAAGTGGAATTACACACTTTAGACAATATTTGATAAATTTCCAAAATTTATCATCACTCAATATGCTCATCACTCACTTAGCCTCAACTCTATTAGCATAAGAACTAGAAGTAAAATCTTTTGAAGCAAACATAGATATAAGATCATTCTTTTGTTGCATAATACAATTTAATCTGAGATAAGCAATTGCAAACCTTGTTACGACTGGTCTAACTAACTCCCTTCTCTTGGAATGCTTTCTGTACAAATTAAGGGACCCATATATGCTTATATATGTAAGTTGTGATTTTCTTTGCATCTGTTATAGTAGCTTAGAAAATTGGAAGCTCTCCAATATCCTTTAGAACTAAATCAAGGCAATGAGCTGCACAAGGTGACCAAAATAATTTAGTTATCTTTTCTTCTAACATTTTTCTTGTTGCCACAATATTAGAAGCCCCAATTATTACAACTTGCATTGCATTTTCTTTCCCAATTTCATCTACCATGTTGTCCAATAATTCAAACATTTGCTTGGCATCCTTAATTACATCACTAGTATGAATAGATTTTAGAAAAACAGTCCTACTAGGACTATTAACAAGAAAATTAGTTAGTGACCTTCCTTTCCCATATATCCAACCATTGCATATTTCTCCTATTTACTTTTGTATTTCTCCAAATTTTGATAGATACTATTAATTACTTTTTTCAAAAAAGAGACTCTCACTTCATGATAAGTAGGAGGTTTTAAACCCTTGCCAAATTCTCCAATAGCTTTTACCATTTGAATAAAATGAGGACTTCTAACCAAATTACATGGTAAGGCATTAGTATAAATGCATTTGCAAATTTCTTGAATGACAACATCACTATCTTTGAACATTGTATTAATTGTTGTTTGCTTTAAAGTTTTAGATGTCCCTCCATTTTCTTTATTGACAAAAGAATCTATACTTCCTTTTTAATGACTACTTACATCTTGGGTCTCAAGCTTCCTAAAAAATTCTAAGCTATTTTCACTTTTTTTCTTTTCTTTCTCTCCAATAGTTTGATGAATTTCTTCTATACCTCATCTGGAACACTTGTACAGACACTTACATTTGCCCTTGTTCCAGTTAGATGATGTTTCATCCTTGCAACTCCACCCCAACAAGTATGAGAATAATATTTGTATTTCACTAATAGAGTGTGTGAGGTACGCTTTCAAAGTGTTTTCATATGATATTACTTTCCTTTGTTTTTTTGGTAGGACCCATTTGTCTCCTTAAACAATAAGAAAAAAGAAAGGAGAAGCCAAATTAAAAATAGAAAGGAAGGGGGACCACTAGAAATATTGAATACAAAGTGGGAAGTTGAGAGAATAATCACAATAATGCACTAAGAGACAATAATGTAATAGGAAATAGCATAAATAATATATGTGGAGAAGATGAAAGCGCAGGAATGAGAAAACAAGGTTTTCTTTCAATAATAAAGTGAGCCGATCGGCAAAAGCAATATTAGGGAGAAATCAATATTTTTGCAAAAAAAAGTTAAACTTTTTTTTAGGGTTGTTAATAAATCAGGTCATGCCAATCTGACTCGCTTCTTGTGCGACCCAGTTTACAAAGAAATCATATGCTGCCATATAGATTCGCAATTTAATCCTGATACATACAATTCAAGTGATTCAAGCAACTATTCAAGTATTAAATCGATTCTGCAATATGATTCATATCCCTGGGCTAAAGAATCGAATCACACCATTAATATCATATCATACAATACTAACTATAATGTTTAAAAATACTTTTACAAATACTTTGATTTAAAAATTAGTATTAATAAATTATATATAATTTAATTAATTTAAAAAGTATATATATTTTAATTTTTAATTGATAATGTAATTAAAAAAACATTTATAATGATAGATATCAAAATTTTGATAAAAATGATATTTACAACATTAATTTCTTTTATTTAAATAAAATTTAAACATTATTTAACAATGATAATATGTATTTTAAATTTTAAAATAAATACAAGAAAATATTAAATATTCTTAGTTTATATATATATATATATATATTTTAAGTTAGATTTTTATTACAATATTTGTAAATTTTTTTAAAAAAATTATATTTTTTTTATTATTTTAAAAAATAAAGAATATTAAATTTTTTAAATTAAATTATTAATTTTATTATTTATTAATATAAAATTAACATTATTTCACGTGAAAATGAGATATTACACCATTTCAGTTATGTTACAATAGATTTTAACTTTAAATTAACTTAAAGCGAAGTTAGTAAGCTAACCTCACTGTTAACGGGGGCATATGCAATTGAAGTGAAAATTTAAAAAATTGCATCACCATCTAATGAAATTGCAGTGAAGTGTATGATGTTGCAGTGTATGTGTACATGACCTGCACGAGAGAGACCAAAATCTCGCTTGTCCAGGCACTACAAATTTACCATACGTTTCAAGAGAGGAAAGAAAACCATATTTGAGTTGAGGAGGGTTTAACCCACAAAGCAAAAACCCTAAATTCATAAGCCCAGAACCCTAGATTGTCCCCGATGACGAAGGTCTACGGCACGGGGAAATATGATTTCCGGCGTCACAGGGTGGCTGAGTACCCGGTGGCAGCGGAGTCGAAAGCGGCTGCTCCAAAGACAACTGGTGGCGGTGGTGGTGTTCCCAGCACCATCACTCTATCAGAGATTCAGCGTGACCGGCTTACGAAGATTGCAGAGGAGAATTGGCTGAAAGGCGGTGATGCGGCGAGGGAGAGGAAAAATAAGGACTTGGAGCCTGAGCTGGTTCGCAAAATCTATGAAACTGAACTGTTGGTTAAAGAAGGTTCGAAACCCGTTCCCTTGCAGCGCGTGATGATCCTTGAGGTTAGCCAGTATCTGGAGAATTATCTCTGGCCTCATTTCGATCCTCTCGCTGCCACCTTCGAGCATGTTATGTCCATTATCCTCATGGTCAACGAGAAGGTCTCATTTCTCTTCTCTCTTCTCTTCTTATGTTCATTTATTCATTCCGCTATAAATTTCACTCATGTCATCGTGTGTGCCTTGCAGTTCCGAGAGAATGTTGCCGCTTGGACTTGCTTCCATGAACGGAAAGATGCTTTCAAAGGCTTTCTTGAGAGAGTTCTTCGCTTAAAGGAGGTCTTTACCTCTCCCCTCTTCTAATTTCTATATCCTTATTGCTATTGGTTTGGGGGAGGGAGGGAGAGAGAGAGAGAGAGAGATTGATTTTACTTAGCATCTCTCTAGATGACATGGTTTCATTTTCATTCATTACCCATTGCTAGGTTTCATTTCTTCTGCATCTAGTTGTCATTTTACTGTTAAATTGAACTTTCAAGTGTTCGTTTCCTCCTCTTTTCATCTATCTGATGAATTGGGATGGTGGCATGGCATTTAACGCACACTTGCATCGGAATCCTATATATATTGTGACATTTGGCTGAATCTTATGTTCTAATTTTTAATGTAGGGACGAGAACTAAGTATTGCAGAAAAGACGAATTACCTAGTTTTCATGATAAATGCTTTTCAGGTACGCTGGTCACTTTGTACCTTTCCTCAAGTCATAATAATTGTTGGCTTTAATCATGTGTGTTTTACATGATTGGCCCATAAATTTATCTCGTCACAAAGAAAAGCTTTAGATTATTGTAGAACTAGTACTACTTCACATAATCTGATAATCTTTATGCTTTCCGCAAATTTTCTGTTTTATTTTTTTTATTATGCTAGAGCTCCTAAACCTTGAGACGAATAGGGGGTGTTGTTTCTAATTTTTAATTTTAGCAAAAACTGTCATCTTGGAAGACAATGCCCCAAAGGAAGAAAATAATTTACAAATTCTAAAGTCATCCATTCCTATCTCTGAACATGTATTATACTGACATCGTCCCATCTCAAAACAGGTGTATTTATAATATGGCTTGTGGTTAATGATTGTTAGTTTGTGTCTCATAGAGAATTGACAAGGAAAGTTTAGCGTAGAAATGAATAGAATTGTCATTCCATTATTTAACATAGCTAACAGGACTTTGAGAACGGACATTTTATTCAATTCCACATTTCTACCTCCTTTCCCATTCTCACTGTTGATGATTCCAGTGAACCAAATAGGCCCATAGATCACTGTTAAATGTAGCTAAGCTAATATTTTAAATTGCAGAGTTTGGAAGATGAAGTTGTTAGCAGGACAGTCTTGAGATTGGCAAGTTTGAAATCATGGTACAGTTTGTCTTATGGTCGTTTTCAGGTAAGATTGAATGAGAAAGATCTATTTTTGTTGTGATCAAAATATTACCTTTGTTGCTCTTATTTTTTGTGATTATTGTTAAAATATTATTGATTGCATACTAAATGCATTTTGGGTCATTGGTCTTCTCCTATGTAGTTGGAGCTTTGTCTTAGTCCGGGTTTGATCAAGAAATGGAAAAGGATGATAAAAAAGGAACCTGTGAAAGGAGGATCTCATTTAGATCCCTCAAATACACCTGAAGTAATGTTTGTGAGAAACCTCATAGAAGAATTTCTGGAGGTTGTAATTTGTTAAGAAGTTTGAATCTATACTACAACCTATAATATTTCCACCATGACTATATTTTTACTTGAAAGTTGTAAGCTGAATTTCCTTTATTGTCTTTCTTTTCTTTTTAGATACTGGATTCACAGGTATTTCCCCAGAAACAATTATCTGGTGAGGACGATGAACTTATTGATGCTACTGGTTTGGGGCTAGTTAATGATGCTTGTGTTTTGTATTGTGAGAGGTTTATGGAATTTCTAATTGACCTCTTGAGTCAACTGCCAACGAGGAGGTATGTTGTCATGACTATCTGTAGTCTTTCTCATTTAAGGATTATGTTGTTTTGTTTGATATTATATATTTCTACTTTTATAGATCCGTGTAGTCGACCTCACCTAGAGGGATAAGGTGTGGTTGTGAATGATTAACCAAGTTACTTTTTTCCTGTATCCTGCCAATTATAATTGAACTGAAAATGGATTCAATTCTTAAATATATGAAGGAAGATGGGATTCTTTCAGACAATGCCATTTTTGTTGCGTAATCTTACAGAATAATTATTTTCTGGTTCTCAAATATATCCATTTACTTTGCTTCTGATTTGTATTGTAGGTATTTGAGGCCTCTGGTGGCTGATGTAGCCGTAGTTGCCAAATGCCATTTAAGTGCACTCTATAGGCATGAAAAGGGGAAACTTTTTGCCCAGTTGGTTGATTTATTACAATTCTATGAAGGGTTTGAGATTAACGATCATACTGGCATCCAGTTAACAGATCATGAGGTTCTTGAATCTCATTACAGCCGATTGCAGTCATTCCAACTACTTGCTTTTAAAAAGATGGGAAAGGTATGTTTAGATGTAATTTATTCTGAGTAAAGAAAATCTACTGTAAATCCTCCTATAATCCATATTACTTCCTCTGTTCTCTTAATTTCATTTTTGTTGGTATGAGAGTATTTTTTTTTTTTTTTTTCTGGTTGTAGCTGCGGGAACTTGCATTGACTAACATTGGTTCAATTCACAAGCGTGCTAATCTATCCAAGAAATTGTCTGTTCTTTCTCCGGAGGAGTTAAGGGACTTGGTTTGCTGTAAGGTATGTAATTAATTGATGCGACTTTTGACTTTTTTTAATAATCTTGATTTTGGATCTTAAATTATTTCCTGTATGTATCACGTGAATGTTGAGAGTTAGAATTGTCAGTTGCTATGTCTTTATCATTATTGCTAATTATAATGGTTTCATTCAAAGTACATGTATTCTTGGAAATTTGCAATGAATCAAATTCTGAAGATTAATCATAAAATCTTAAATTTTCAATTTTGTTGTCATTTATGTACTTATCCAGATAATTGAGTTCTTCAATCTTCCTCAATTTAAGAGCTTTCTTAACCCTCCTTTCTAAATGTGTACAGGCTTACTTTCCTTAGGATTATGATATTAGAAGTGGGAAGTGATCTTTTATTTTATTTACAATATATGTTAGTGGGGGTAGCTTTTTTGAATTTTACCAATGGCGCTTACATATCTTTATGTACTAGTTATGTTGATTAGTTTCAGAAATAGTATAATAATGCTTGCAAAGCATGAGCTGTGCTGATTTTCAATACCACAAACTTCTGCTTTTGACATTATTTTATTATTCAGCTCAAACTGGTCTCTAAAGAAGATCCCTGGTCAGAGAGGGTTGATTTTCTTATTGAAGTAATGGTGTCCTATTTTGAGAAGCAGCTATCTCAAAAAGAAGCTATTAATGCTCTTCCCCTATACCCAAATGAGCAGATAATGTGGGATGAAAGTGTTGTACCTAGCATAAATTACTCTGGGGAAGGTTGTTTAGCATTGCCAAAGCTGAACTTACAGTTCTTAACACTTCATGATTATCTTCTTCGGAATTTTAATCTCTTTCGACTTGAATCAACATATGAGATACGTGAGGACATTCAGGAAGCTGTTCCACATCTTCTTGCATATATTAATAATGAAGGAGATACTGCTTTTCGTGGTTGGTCAAGAATGGGTGTGCCAATCAAAGAATTCAAAATCACTGAAGTTAAACAACCCAACATTGGAGAAGTCAAACCGTCATCTGTCACTGCAAAAGTTACTTATAGCATTTCCAGCTATAGAGCACAGATTAGATCAGAATGGGATGCACTCAAAGAACATGATGTATTATTTTTACTATCTATTCGTCCATCATTCGAGCCTCTTAGTGCAGAAGAAGAAGATAAAGCTAGTGTACCACAAAAGCTTGGCCTTCAATATGTACGAGGATGTGAAGTTATTGAGATTCATGATGAGGAAGGAACCCTCATGAATGATTTTTCTGGAAGGATTAAACGTGATGAGTGGAAGCCACCAAAGGGAGAGCTGAGAACAGTAACTGTGGCTTTGGATACTGCACAATACCACATGGATGTCAATAACATTGCTGAGAAAGGGGCAGAAGATATTTATGGTACATTTAATATGTTGATGAGGAGGAAGCCAAAAGAAAACAATTTTAAAGCCATCTTAGAATCCATAAGGGATTTAATGAATGAATACTGTATTGTTCCCAAGTGGTTGGAAAATGTTTTTCTTGGTTATGGGGATCCTTCGGCAGCGCAGTGGACTAATATGCCTGATTTATTGGAAACAGTTGATTTCAAAGATACTTTTGTTGATGCTGATCACTTGACAGAAAGTTTTGCAGATTATGAGGTTAGTATTTCATTTTCAAATTCAGAGAAATTATTGTTGCATGGATGTGATTGATGTCTTCCATTGGGAATTCTTGTATGAAATTAAGATATTAATGCAATTTTCCTCTTACTTGATGTATCTTTCAGGTGTCTTTTGTTAATCCTGATGGCACAGAAAACTTGAATCCAAGGGCTCCTTTCAAGATCAAGCTTCCCCGAACACTCAAAACAAGCAGTGGTGCTCTTACTGGACGTGCAGTGTCTACTGCTGGTGCAACAAATGGTGTTAATATGGCTGATGGTAATCATCAGAAAGAAACACTAATTATTGAGACATATACTCCTCCAGATCCTGGCCCTTATCCTCAAGATCAGCCTAAACAAAATTCAGTTAGATTTACACCCACACAGGTGCACTCAGCTTGAGTTCAATCATATACTGTCACTTTTTATGCATAATTGTTTTTCCATGATATCTTTCTCAGTCCGCCCTCTCCCCTCACAGTTATTGAATCTTGGGTATTTGACTAAATCCACATGGTTCTGCCTAAACTGATGCACCTGAAATGTACAAATACAATTCTTGTATTTCTTGAGCCATTATATCCATTATATTAAGTATATGGTGTAGTTTGCATCACAACTCACATCCTATTTCCCTCAAGTATTGTTAGTAATGTGAAAATGATCAGTTTTCATGATGCTTTTTAAAATTTTTGGCAAGAATAAGGAGACCATGATTTTGTGGCAATGTGCAATTTTTGCAGTTTGTCATGAATTTGGCAAGAATAAGGAGACCATGCTTTTTAAAAGTTGTCTTGCTGTTTTCTTTGTACTTTCTGTCAGTAGGTGCAGTTGGTGAGAGAAAGAGAGAACCTGGTTCGCACATTTTTGTGGCGCCTTTCTTCTTTTCTCTCTAACTGCTGCTGCAGTTTAACTGCATGTGATAAAAGTCTGCCTCATATGCTTCGTTTATGTGTACTTTTTCCTCTTTCTTCTATTCTCCATCTCTATAAATATATTAAATACTGAATCAAAATTAATAATAATTTGGAATGTTCTGTTTAAGCAGGTTGAAGCAATTATCTCTGGCATTCAGCCTGGTCTAACTATGGTTGTGGGGCCACCTGGTACGGGGAAGACTGATACAGCTGTACAAATTCTGAATGTTCTTTATCATAATTGTCCTTCTCAGAGAACCTTAATAATTACTCATTCAAATCAAGCACTAAATGACCTGTTTGAGAAGATAATGCAGGTAAGATATTTTATTTCTCCTCCTCTAATATGTTAATTTTTTATGTGATTATATTTCTCCCCCTCTATTCTCAAATTTTGGCAGAGAAATTTGAGTAGACTCTCTGATGGTGAGAGAGATGATGTGTTGAGACAGATTGAAGTATTTTCAGAATATATCTTCTGAAGTTGCTTGTTAACTTGAGATAAAACTTCTGATCAAATCAGATTTCTATCTTTCCTCACATCCCTTTATCCCTCATATCTACCAAACCTAGTTCCATATTTTCCCTTCCCTGCAGTTCAAGATATTCTTAAGCTACATCATTAGTGTTGTTTTCATTAATCTTGGATATGTCAGTGTTGGCAGCAAAAGAACTGTTGTTTTCATTCAGATGTATTATGCTAATCAATAACTGTGTACATAGGGTGGTTTTTGGTTATTACTGTTGAATTGAATTCATGCACCTCTGATAATTTTCGTGATATCATGATTGTTATATCATAAGAAAAATTTCCAACTGTTGTGTTTAACATACAAACAATTGTTCTTGATCTTTCTGTGGGTTGAAAAGGTTATGTAATGCACCACACTAGTATTTGGTTTCAACAGGTTTTTTAGTTTTTGTGAAGATGAACCCAGCATTTACTATTGTTTTTCTTGTTGGGATTAACCTATGCTAGTCCATTGAGGGGTCTATCTAACTCTGAGCTTAGTAACTCTATTTATAAATTCTTGCATGTTATTCATTTCTTCAACACAGAAGTTTATGCATTTCATTTTAATTCTTTTTGTTTTAGAGAGATGTACCTGCACGTTATCTTCTTCGACTTGGTCAAGGAGAACAAGAGCTAGCAACTGATCTTGATTTTAGTCGGCAAGGTCGTGTTAATGCAATGCTTGTGAGACGGTTAGAATTGCTGAGTGAAGTGGAGAGGCTGGCAAGATCTCTTCAATTGCCAGAGGATGTGGGTTACACATGTGAAACTGCAGGATACTTTTGGTTGCTTCACATTTATTCACGCTGGGAACAATTTCTTGCTGCTTGTGCTGAGAATAAAGAAAAGCCAACATTTGTTCGAGATCGTTTTCCCTTCAAAGAGTTCTTCTCTGATACACCACATCCTATATTTACAGGAGAGTCTTTTGAGAAAGACATGCGGGCTGCTATGGGGTGCTTTCGTCATCTTAAGACTATGTTTCAAGAACTTGAAGAGTGCCGGGCATTTGAATTACTTAAGTCAACAGCTGATAGGGCTAACTACTTAATGACCAAGCAGGCTAAGATTGTGGCGATGACTTGCACTCATGCAGCTCTAAAGAGGAAAGATTTCCTTCAGTTAGGTTTTAAGTATGACAACTTGTTAATGGAAGAAAGCGCACAAATTTTAGAGATTGAGACTTTTATTCCAATGTTGCTCCAGCGGCAGGAGGATGGTCATGCACGGCTTAAACGATGCATCCTGATTGGTGATCATCACCAGTTGCCTCCAGTTGTGAAGAATATGGCTTTTCAGAAGTACAGCCACATGGATCAGAGTTTATTTACCAGGTTTGTCCGCTTGGGCATTCCTTACATTGAGCTAAATGCTCAGGGAAGAGCCAGGCCTAGTATAGCTAAACTTTACAATTGGCGATACAGAGATTTGGGAGACCTTCCTTATGTGAAGGAGGAAGTCATATTCAGTAGGGCAAATGCTGGATTTGCTTATGATTATCAGTTAGTGGATGTTCCAGATTACCTTGGTAAAGGGGAGACAACTCCATCTCCTTGGTTTTACCAAAATGAGGGAGAGGCAGAATATGTTGTCAGTGTCTATATATACATGCGTCTGTTAGGGTATCCTGCAAATAAGATATCAATTTTGACTACTTACAATGGTCAGAAACTTCTCATCCGTGATGTTATAAATAGGAGATGCGTTCCATATGACTTCATTGGTCCTCCAAGCAAGGTATGCTTCTCATTGTGTACCTTCTATTTATATTTTAGACTAAATTTTTAAATGATTTCTGTGATGAAGGTGGTGCAATTTTGGGTTCTTGATTTCTAATGATTTTATTCTTATTCTTATAATTTGGGTATAAATTATTCTTCTGAGAGATATTTACCTCTTAAGAAATGAGATGTGCTACAATGTAGTCCCTTTTAATAAACAAATCTTTTAGTCGTTGTGAGCGATAGTGGACAAGGCTCTCACTGAGATGTTTCCTTTCTCTACAACTTGCAATGTCACCTACTAATTTTGAACACTCTAGTTTTTGACTTTAGAAGATGGAATGAAGTTTTAGACTCGATATTATCAGCTTTCAAACTTTTACCTATAATCTTCATTTCATCTTTTGAAGAAAGTTGATAGTAGTGTAATTTAAGCATCTTTCAAGGTAGAGGACTGAGATTTGCACATTACTAGTACTACTACTAACATATTAGCAATATTATGCATCAATGCTTTTTTTTTTTGTATGAGGTTTTGAACACTAGAGCCAAATAGGTATTTCTGATAGAACTGTACATTTTTTGAAGTTGTGGTCTCAATCAAGAAATCTTTGTTTTCTGTAAATGACTGCTCTCAGGTTACTACAGTGGATAAGTTTCAAGGTCAGCAAAATGATTTTATATTGCTCTCTCTTGTGCGTACCCGATTTGTTGGTCATTTACGTGATGTAAGAAGATTGGTGGTTGCCATGTCACGTGCTCGGCTTGGTTTATATGTCTTTTGCCGTCGTTCCCTTTTTGAACAATGCTACGAGTTGCAACCAACATTTCAGCTTCTTCTTAAGAGACCTGATCGTCTTGCCCTTAATGTTAGTGAGATTACATCATATACTGAACGAGATGTTGGAGATCCTGGACCTAGACATCATGTACATCTTGTCAGTGGCGTTGAGGAGATGAGGAGTATCATAGATGGGCTGTATGAGGTATGTCTCACATCTCATGATACAAGATTTTTCTCTATTTATCTTCAGTTACTCTTATTTTTTTTCTACCTTTTTTTAATATAAGAAGATATTAATTAGGACAGAAAAGTTCCAAAATGGTGGGGGGATAAGGAATTCACCTCAATATAAGAGTAGAACACAAAAAAAAGGAAAAACAGAATTAACGGAGCAAAACTGCCCTATATGCCTCAACATATTTGGGAAACATATTTTTTATGTGGCTTATGGTTGGACCAACTAGAGGCTAGATGTCTCTAATCAAGTGCTATGCCGTGGAATCTCCTTAAACACAGTTATACGCATTGTTTTTACCTCTTCTATAAAAGCCATGAAAGCTAATAATCAAAATCAGTACAGGGACTTAGGACATACCCAACGGATGTTATTACTAACTATGGTGGAACCATGGTGATTAAAATAAAGAATATATAGAAAAAGCACTGCAGAATATAACTAAGAAGGGCCAACCACTGAACAGAGATCACTGAGGACCAATGTTATTAATGGCGGATGGCGGTTCATGGCGGAAACTCAAAAAAATGCCATAAAGTTATGGCAGCCGCCATGGCGGGTTATGGCAGATTTATGGCGGATGTAATAAAATATATAAAAAAATACTATAGGTCACAGAAAATAATAGAAAATAATTAACTAAAAATATATGTAACATAACCTTCAATCTAAAGTATAATTAAATACAAAATATGTAATTATCAAATGTCAAGTTAACAATAAAAATAAAGATTATCAATTTAGTCTTCTTCTTCAACTCCAACATAATCATCCTCTTTCTCATCCACCAAGGCATATCCCTCCTCTTCTTCTCCTTCAGATTGTGGAAGATTAAATTCTAATTCATCTTCTGTTTCTTCCGACATTTCTTCATCTTCTAATTCTTCATCATCATCTTCAAGAACCATTTTCTCTTTTCCTTTTGTTGTTGAACATGCCTTAATCTTGGAAACTTTTGCAGCTTTGATAGTGATACCACTTGATGGATTCTTTCTTTTCTTAGAATGACGCCTAGTATATGTTGTAGGCTCTCCAATTCCAGAAGCTTCATAAACAGTTGCCCAATTTAAAGTGTTGTCATCATAAAAAACTAAGTCATTTCCAGCATCCTCATCTAGAGCATCATCATCCATTTCTCCAACCAACCACTCATTACACTCATCAATATCATTGAGTGTAATTGGATCAATTACATCTTTAAGATTGTAACGTTCTTTGAGTTGGTGGTTGTATTTCACATAAACCAAGTCATGTAATTTTTTGTGATCAAGCCTATTTCTCTTCTTTGAATGAATCTGCAACGTGAGTTTAATTATAAGAATATTAATCAGTTTCTCTCTAATTTATAAAAGAAAATAGTAGGCTCGAGAGATAAAAAATTACTTGCTCAAAAATACTCCAGTTGCGTTCACATCCGGATGCACTACATGTCAAGCTCAAAATTTTGATAGCTAGTTGCTGCAAATGTGGAGCTGAATGTCCATACATTCTCCACCATTGAGCTATAAAATGAAAGACAAATTATAACTCTGAAGATGAAGTATAACCTTAAAATTAAAATATTGAAGAATTTGATGAATTACCGGGAGCAATGCTTTTTCTTTGTGATTTTGCAAAGTCGGACCCAAAGAGACCACCACCGCTCTTGTAAATTGGTAATTCAAGTAGTATACTTTGTTGCACATCCCGACTTGGCACTAACCTCTTGATACAATCATACAACCCATTTGTAACTTCCAAATCAAATTCAATTTGAGGGTTGTCATAGTAAAATTCCGGGTTTAAAATGTGACCAGCTGCATGTAATGGACGGTGAAGCTGACAAGTCTATCTGTTATCAATGATTGCAAACACATCTTTGTATTTACTTTCATTATTTTTGAATGACTTCATGATAGCTTCTTTACTTTTCTCCATTGCTTCATAAATATACCCCATAGCTGGTCTTCTTTCTCCATCAACCAAACGTAACACCCGGACAAGAGGAGCCATGATTTTCAAAGTATACACCACATTATTCCAAAATACAGGATTTAATAGAATTTTTGTTGCTTGCTTCCCTTTAGCTTCCTTTGATAACTTGTTTTTACACCATTCCTCAGAAGTAAACATCTTTCTAAGATTTGCTTTTTCTTGGTGAAGTCTTTCTAATGATAGAAAAGAAGTTGCAAATCGAGTAACTGCATGTCTTACCAATTCCCTCTTGTTTGTAAAATTTCTCAACAAACTCAAGGTACTTGAATGACTGTAGATAAAGCCAACAACCGAAATTCCCCTTTGAATTGTCTTCTTTATCAAAGGAAGCTTTCCAATATCTTCAAGCATAATATCTATGCAATGAGCTGCACAAGGAGTCCAATAAAGATGTGGTCTTTTCGCTTCTAACATCTTACCAGCCAAGACATAATTGCTTCCATTATCCGTTATCACTTGCACAACTTTATCTTCTCCAATCTCTTTCACAAGAGCATCAAGCATCTCAAATAATTTTTCACCGGTCTTCACAAAATTAGATCCATCAATAGACCTCACAAACATAGTACCAGCAGGAGAGTTGACCAAAAAATTAATCAAGCATCTTTGCTTTCGATCGGTCCATGCATCTGACATTATGGAACAGCCATGTTTGCTCCATTGCTCTTTATGATCTTTCATGAGGGAATCGGTATATTCTAGCTCTTTCTTTAGAAGTGGAACTCGAATATCATGATAACTTGGAGCTGGTAAATTTGGACCGAAAGCACCAACAGCTGTAAGCATTTCTTGAAAGCTCTTCATTTTAATGAGGTTAAAGGAAAGGCCAGCTCCAAAATCGAGCTATGTATTGATGGACCCTTGCCTTGGCTTCTTTGTCACATCGTTCTCTTATATTTGTTTGTCTCAATTTTTTCTTTTTTCTTTTCTCAATTGCACTTTCAGGCTTTCTACAAAACAAGTCCATTGGCCCTTTCTGATTTCCAATGGCAACGCTACGGGTTTGGGTATCCTCTTCATCCTCACTTACATCATAGCTTATACCTTCAAAGCTTCTCACATTTGGCATCTCAAAATTATTTTGATTCTTTTTTTCCTTTTGATATGTTTCAATCTCTTTTCTAACTTCTTCCGGACACTTGGGACAAGCTTTCACGTTACCCTTCTTTCCAATTAAATGTTGTTTCACTCTAGTGATTCCCGCACTCATAACTTTTCCACAAAAATTACATACAATGTTGTTTGTATCTCCATCTTTCACCGAATGAGCATATTTCCATCCCGGGTCAGAACGATTAGAAGTTCTTGAACAATTTGATGAAGACTCATGTTGAGCCATGTTAAGAGTAGCTGAAATAAATAGAATTTTTTTTTAAGGAAAATCAGAGAAAAATAGAAATGTGGGAGAGGTAAAAATTGAAAGATGGAAAGGGTAAAATTTAAATGGGGGAAATAAAGAAAAAACTGAGAGGAAAAATTAAAAAAAATAGCTACCAGAAAAATGGAGTCGCTGGAGATGGAAGTGCAGTCGCCGGAAATGGAGGTTGGAGTCACCGGAGATGGTGCAGTCGCCGGAGATGCAGCTGCAGTCGCCGAAAATATAGACCGAAATGCACCCAAACAGAAACACAAAGAGCCCAAGAAAATGAGATCTCAGCAACGAGATCTCAGAGAAAGCAGTCGCAGAGAGAGAGAGAGAAGTGGTCGCAGAGAGAGAGAGAGAGATGGAGGGAGCTCAAAGAGATGAGCAGAGTGGAGAGTGAGATCGTAGAGAGTGCGATTGCAAAGAGAGGGAGAGTGAGATCGTAAGGAGAAGAGAGAGAAAAAACCTGGATTTAGGCAGTTGGATTCTGAGCTGGGTCGGGTTGGGTCGGGTTGGATCTGGCCCAAAAGTGCAGAAAATCCAATTTTTTTTAAAAAAAACACCATTTATCACGATTTCCGCCATGGCCGGCCGTTACCGCCATGCTCGTAACGGCCGCCATGGCGCCGCCACGTCATTCCGCCACGCCACGCTATCTTCGTAACAGCGTCCGTCATTTCCGCCACGCCATACCGCCGTGGCGCCGCCATAACGGCCATTTGACAACACTGCTGAGGACAGAACAGAGACTCAGAGAACATAATAGAGGAATAGAGACTCAGAAAATAGAGGAATTGAATGTGATACTCAACAGAGGAGTGAAAAGAGACTCTAAACAAAGAAATAGAGAGAAACTCAAACAATATAGAGAAATAGAGAGAACAGCGATGCATAAATCAGAGGAAGAGAAGGAAACAAAGAAACAGACTCAGGAACATAAAGGTCACCTGAGAGGATTTCTTTTCCTTTTTTTTAAAATAGACCTTTTACAGGATTTCTTATCCTTCCCCTTGTACTTTTTGTTTTTCTCTCACATAAATTCAATTTTATGTGGGAAAAAATCATAAGCAAAGGGTGGAATACAAAATTGGAGGATAAGAAATTGCATGAGGAAAGCCGCATGAATAAACCATGTGCTCAGGCATCATGTCTATATTTCCATACTTCAATGGGGGAGGATAGGAAAAATTAACATAATAATTAAAACTTTATATTTTTATTTAGCATATTGATTATGTAAATTCAGTTTCAACTATGTATAGTTACCTATGAAGCATGGATATTGGACATGGATGTTAAATAAAATATTGCAATTTTTTACTATACTTGTGTCCTTGAAGTATCCACGCATATGAAAGTGTCTGATCAATTGTCGAGTTGACAAAATGTATTCCAACACCTCAATCAGGAGAAGTGTCTGTTTGTAGAATTTAACCTTGATACAGGGCAATATTTACTCACCAAGGAAAGAATAGGACTGATAACGGGTCCTATACTCATCAGGTATCCACTAAAAATACCACAATAATGGGTAAGATAAACACCCGCTTGACAGGTTTGGGTTTGGAGTATGAGTAAATACCTGCAAAATACTATTTCTGTTTGCGGTGTCCAAATCTTATGAAATTTTCTGTCTAAAGCCAACATCCAAGTTTTGCTTTATCCTACATCTATTAAATTTTGATGTTTGTTAGGGTTGTCCAAGCAGCCGGGCAATTTTCTTTACTATTTATTATAATGGTTTTGGGAGAAGTGTAAAACTGTACATGCTATTAATTTTGGTGGTTTATGCTCCATTTGGTTAAAACGTGATGTCAGAAATAGTACTGACAGATATTTGTTGCTACATCTTATGTCATATAGTATTCTTTACCTAGTTTCTTTTAATACATCTGCTTGAACTTTAGTTTTGTGTAAGTTTTTCTTAAACTAGTACATTATGCCTTTTATTTTTGGGTCTTGCTAAGGAACTGGTGAAGGAATCAGTATTTAGTTAGTTTTTATTAAAAATCACATTGGAATGCATGAAAATCAGGGGGGTGAGTGTATTATTACCTTTTTGAATAAAATTTAGGGTAATGATTAGTATTTCCTTCGTTTTTTGTCTGCTTCTTTCTTTAGTCTTTACCTTGTCCCATCAGGGTTTCTATGCTCTGCCGTTGCACTCTACTTTTAATCAGTTCTATTTTTTTCTTGGTTCTTTTTATAACAATTTTATATATTTATTTTGTTTCCAGGAAAAGATGAGACATCAGTTTCAGCAAAATGGGCCTTATTTTAGTCATTCAGAACCTTCAGAAAATACAGAAGAGGTGCAAAGTGGGCAGCAGACTAAGGACACTGATATGCCTGAACAAGCAGCGGATCCGCATGAAAGTAAGGGAGCTACAACTGCTGATAACCATGTGGCTGGAGATATGGCTCCTGAAAACAGCGTGGAGGATGTTACCATGGTTGATAATAGTGCTGGTGTTGCAAATGGGAGCCCAACATTGTAGAAGCCCTTCAAATAAGACAGATGTAGGTGCTGCTAAGTAAGCATTAATTGCATATTTATTTATTTATTTTTCCTGAGTTACATATCCATAGGTCGTGCAATTTCTTTGTCCTGATAAATCAATGCCAAATAGACAAGATGTAGCAGTAACAAATACGGTTTTGGATGTTCTGATGTGGAAGGTCAGGTGGAGGAATTCATGTGTTCTATTAACCAGTTGTTGTTTGGATGGCTTATTGTTCAGGTGCAAGTTTGTCGTCCAAATTTTTGATAGACTACGATGAATCTACTGTAGATTAAATGCTACATGATTACGAATTCAATGTTCAGAATCTGTATCTTTGTCCCGCTGGAAAGAAGGGCATGCTGATCTCATATTTTTCCATACATTAATAACCGACATCATTGGAGTAGGATAAGACGGTGTCTAGGTAATGTCCTTTTCATACAGAGAAAAAAACTTTACTAGGAGGATTTAAATGTGAAAGACTACCCCCAAATGTTGCTGTTGTGGGGGGTGGTAGGTCTCGAAGAAAAGCATTAGTTGCATTTGCTGATTAAGGGTGTCAGGTGTCACTAACTCCCAACACCCGTGGGCATGGTGAAGTGCGGATAATAGTGGTAAGAGAATGGAAATATGATAAATACTATGCCAACAAGTCAATCGAGCACTGTAGAAAGGGCTGGTTCTGTACAGCAAGGAATGTGGAGGAGCCAAATTTACACAACTGAGACTTTCCACGAAAGCTTGCGTTCCCTAAATACATTTATCAAGCTGAAGCCGCCAACGGTTTTTCTGTGATTTTATTGCAAATTACCCAATCAATTCATCACTAATTAACGTTTACGCGGGGGTCGAGCAATTCTTTTTCTTTTTAAATTTTCAATTTTCTGGTTCGGATCGTTCAAGTTTATTGTGTAGAAGATCGGTATCGAGCTCCCATTATTATTTGGTTTAGTTTTATAGCAAGTTTGAGTAAGTTTCTTAACGAGTATTCATAAGAAAAGAAAATTAAACCTTTTTATAATAATTAAAATTAATGTGCATTTTTTGCATTTTTTAAAAGGTTCCTCATTTAATTTTAGTTTAACACTTGTACACTTAATAGATTTTAACGTTCTTACTTTGTAGAAATCTTAATAATAAAGTTTAAAGGTTAATCTGTACTGAGCCTTAGAATTTATAGACTGCGATGGCCTAAATGCCCCGGTCACAATTGTGACAATACCAATAAGTACATCTTAATGTATGGATTAGCTACTATTCGTACACTTCCAATTCTAAGAAAAATAAAAAGGTTTCATATGTTCCAAAGTCTAAAATTGTTGACAAATTAATATATCATGAGTTTCAACATGTTAGTGGTGAGTATAACATTATTGTTTTACTCCTTGTGGATTAACATGAGCTTCATAAACTCTATTTGAAGTCAGTTTGAATGTGCTGTTTCAAAAAGCAAGTGTAGCAGAAAGAGTTGAACATAGAAATATTAGGGTCAATTGACTTTTAAAATAAGTTATCTTGTGTCTAGATTTATACTTGTAGAGGTTTTTATTTTCGTTTTATGTTACGTGTGAAAGAAGAAAGAGCACAGGAAAAGCAACTATACTCTCAAAGAGCAACTCCTGAAGCATCCGCAGCAAGCAGAATGAACAGCTAAGTCAGAGGTAATATAAAAAAAATATCAAATAGAAAATTAACACTTCTTCCCCTGTTGGTGAAATCCAAGTAAAGACAGCTTAACACAGTCGTAAGCTAAGTATGTTCTTATTGAAGTTAAGATGAACTGTTGCTTAATTGGTGATTCCTATATGTAAGATACAAGCAATTGTTGCTTCCTCAGTCATCGTTGTCACTGATATATTTTAATAAAAAAATTAAACAAAAATGTCGGATTGTGCACCCATTCTTAAGTCGAAGTAGAAGTCGAAACTCTCAAATATTATTAATAATTTTTTGTGGTTGGGGTTTAAGGATCAATTGTTGACTAATGGACTTTGGTTAACATTACTATAATATTGAATTTACAGAGAACTAAGATATCTTACCTTTATATAATTTGATATGGCAAGTGGTGAATGACGCTGATTGAAATTTAAAAAATTGGGACCTGTGCCGTACCAAAGTTTTGGATTAGTGTTCAATATATGACCACCAATTGGCTGCTTTGCAAAATTGCAACAAAATAACTGAAGATAATAATCTAACTAATTTGATGCACAGTTGCACACTATGTGTAGACTCGGATCTTCTCTAATAAACTGCATCATTCAACAGAAGAGGAATCACTCATGTTTTATTCACTCTTCTCCTGAATGGTGCAGCTGATCAATGAGTCTTGAGGTCACTGTCCCTAGGAAGAGAACTTCAACTCTTTCATTTGCAACTCAGTTAGAAATGGAATCACTTATCTCATTTGGCTCAAGTCAACCCATTCTCTAGGCTTATATTCAGAAAAGCTTGAACTTATCCTGAATTTAAGAAAAATATTCAAATTTGTACTTCGCCTGTTCCACTAATATGAATCCAATAATATGTGATCAAAGTTTGATACGACTTAATTTAGGTTCTTCATTAGTTTCATTTTAAATTTCAAGTAGACCCGATTTAAGAAATCGAGTTAAAAAGTTCAAATATCCTTAAATTAACAAATTCAAGAAATTTGGACTAAGGTGCCCGAGTATAACTGGAAAGGAAGAAAATAAAGTCCTTTTCTGTGTTATTTTCTTCTTTGTTTGGGAAGAAAAAATATCACACGTCTCATAAACTTTTTTTTTCTGTTTCATCTTTTTCTCTTCAGTTCCAGACAAGGTATGCTTCTTATCTGCAAATTCTTTTGTTACCATTTTTTCTCCTCACTAGATGATCACGAAGTAAATGACTTCCACACAAAATACACTGAAATGATTAATGGGAATGTGCTAATTAATCAGGGGCAATTTATTACCATATCCATGACATTTGGAGGTGATTAAAAAATATATTAACTAAAAATAAAATTATAAAGTGGCACCTCAAGGTTTATATTGTCAATCTTAAAATAAAATAAGTACGGCTTACAACATTGTTTATAGTATGCAAATAGAACTTGAGATTATAGTGCGCTTTTGACACTCATCAAAAAGTGCATAGATAATAAGAGAAATGCACCCTTCGCTATTGGTTTATAGTATTTGCGTTGTGTCGCTGTGATTGGTTACGGGGAAACAAAAACCCATAAAGTCACACTCAAGACTTTGGTTCCCTTTGATTTTCTGCTGCTACCACTGTGCCTTTACTTTCCTTCTTTGTATAGCGTTTTCCTCTCTTTTTCCACTAAAAGATTCATGACAACATTATATATATATATATATAGATAAAATGTATGTATAAATATTTTTATATAATCTGAATTTTTTATTTAATTTATATTTAACGTATTATAATTTATTATTTTATTAATTTTTATATATTCTTGCTTGATTGGTTAAGCAGAGACATACTCGAAATAAAATAAATATAATCATGAATGGCGAATCTATCGTGCCGCCCATCCAATCATGCGTCGTATTTCTCATGTTATTTCTAACCAAACAGAAAGTGTTAATTACAACAATGACGTGTGGATATCATTTTCACAACACTTTTAAAAATAAAAACAGTTATTATTATTTTTTTAAACAAAAAAGTGTAAAATTAATATTACGATTTAACGCGCTTTGCATTCATCAAATGTCGTTAACTCTCCATAAAACCAATAATTTATTTTTAGCTTTGTTTGGCACTTTTGGTTGAGTATCTTTAGATAGAATAATGGGAACCAGGCAATCCACAGCATACCATACATACCCAAAGTTGAAGAACCTTTTAAGAAAGTGGAATGAATGTCAGAAACCTTAATGGAATCAAACTCATTGTAATATCAATGAACCTTTTATTGGTTTCATTTGGTTGCTTTTGATCTTTACTGTAGCTGACTAAAGTTTTATAAAATTCTATCCAATAGGATAAGTTATTTAATTCAGTCCTAAATTATAATATATAATTCAAACTTCATTTTGATATAAATCACATACAACCACTATTTCGTTTCATTTTAAATATCAATTTGCACTTGCAGATCAATTAACGATGATTATATGTTTAAGATGAGAGATTATATAAACATTGGATATTTGTTAAAAATGTTTAAGCTGTGTCTATCTAGTTTAGTAGCTGTGCAGTGCACCTTTCTTTTTATTTTTCTTTCTTGTTTACTAAATTAGATTTTTAATTTTTAATTTTTGTTTCAATTCTACTCTTCTTTTTAGTTTCATTCATAGTTTGTGAATATAACAATACATATAATATGTTAAAACTAATATAAGAGTAAGCTGATAATTGCATCTTAAGGGTGACACAGGGATGAAATATTAAGGGAAACACAAATATACATTATTAAATTGTATTGTATTTGACTAATAAAAAAATATTTTAGAGTTTTAATTAGAAATTTTTTATATAAAATATAAAGAATTTTAAGCATCTCATTTAGAGAAAATTAAAATCTCATCTATTATATTTAACTTTTTTATAATTTTTTATACTTAATCACATTAATCTTTCCTACTTATAATTTAAAATCATCAGAAATTCTGAAAAAAATTATACTCATTTTACTGTGCCTTACATTTCGACCACTGCATGCTTGCCTGTGAGAGGTTCATTGGCTCTCTATGATTGCTTGACTCACTGCGGTGGCAGAATGTGCTAATAGTTCATGTTTGTAGTGTTCATGTTTTCAAACAATTTTGCATTCTTTTCAAAATCTCGAGTAGTTTTTTAATTATTATTTTTCCCTTTGTGTAGAGATCTGTGGCATCAACATGGAAAAATAGTGACAATCCAGTTTGCAAAACTCAAAATGAAAAAAGAGACTCAATTGCTCTTATTTGAAAGATATATCTTTAAAATGTGAAAGTGAGAAGATTCAAGTGTAAAATTAATCAATTTAGCTATTGAATCATTTTATATTATCTTTCTAATTGTGTATATTAAATTTCATGTAATTTTACATTTGTAGACATGTTATTTAAAATTTGATATTTACATGTATTTTTAAAATATATTACTCATTAAAATAAAGTAATGCAATGAAGTACTTAATTTTATTTTTTATAAATTTTATAAATTTAATTTATAATCTTATAATTATTAAATTCAATAAAAAATTATTACGTAGTGTAAGTGTAAAAACGATTAACCGCATCATATAATCAAATAAAAGATTTGTGTTAAAAATACACTTTTTAATTAGTTAAAATATCAGTATATTGCACAAATTTATTTTAATTAAAAAATAATTTTAATAAAAATGTTTTAAATTATATTATATATTACAAAAATTATAAAATAAATTACATAAATTCACAAAGAAAATTATAAATTCAAAAATAAAATTTTATTTATATTATGGAGTTAAATTTATAGCACAATTAATATATTATTTAATATTATATTAATGCTATAATATAGTTAATTTTACTTATAATTATAAATTATAGATAGATTCTTAGTTAAAAACATTTTGTAAATAAAAATAATTCAAAATAAGAAAATTATTAATATATATTCAAAATTACACAAACAATAATAGTTTATGTAAACCAACAAATAAAATTTAAAACTAAAATAAAATAATTTTTTATTCATAGGTTTATATATATTATATAATTATTCATTTCAATACATAATATAGTTGAAATATTATTTAATGTTATTGTGCAATTAATTTTACACATGTCCTGTGAAAATTTGATTCAATAGTGATAAAAGTATGACTTTATGATTTTATTTGAAACTAATTTTTTAATAAAATGGATACTTAATAATTATGATTAAATTTAATTTTTTTACAATAATGTTAATAATATGTGTATTTCTTAATATGATTAAAAATGCTCTTAAGTTTTTTTTAGTAAGTTATGATTAAAAATAAATTGAAAAAAAAAATATATATATATATATATTAATATTTAATATTTTATTATAAATTATTTTTTAATGTAGTTCACACATTATTTGAGCTACATATAAATCATTAAAATATTGATAGATATAAAAAGAATAAATTTATTATAATTAGTTTTAGCAGCCTATGTAATGTTACATGTATTTTATTTTAAAATAATTATATATGTATTTACATATAATAACACTATTTTAAATAATAAGTTTTTTAAAAATTAATATAACTTAATTCTATAACAACAAAATATAAGGTAACAAAAAAAACTTTTATAACTTAGAAACATAAGTATTCACCAAAAATTTAGAAATTGATTATGTATGGTAATAAGAAAAAAATTAAGTTACAACATTTAACTCTAAAATTTTAAATAAAATTAACAAAAAGGTAAGTAAAAATTGAAGTAGTTATAACAAGAGATATTGGAGTTCACATATCATTTTTATTTAATTTTAATTTAAAAATAAATATACGGCTAACTGTGAACAAGAGTAGCTCTATTGAGCACCTCACCTTTTCGCTAAAATATTTTTTTAATAATATAAAAACACAGAAAAAATTGTTGATATTAAATTATTAACATATGAAAAATATTTTGAAAATATATTACGTTTAATTTTGTTAATTAAAAATAATTTTATAAATAAAAAATTTAATATAAGAAATTTTTAATTAAAATTTAAAATTACAATAAATGACAATTACATAAATTACAATTTATTATGATATATAAATATGTATTCAACTTTATAGTGTAGTTATATATTAATTAATATTATATTAATGCTATAGTATAACTAATGTAATATATATTTATGCATTTTAATTTATAATTTAATAATTTATTATAAATTATACTTTTAATTTGTTTACACTTATAAATTATATTGATCAATTAATAAATGTATAAATTAAAAATTAAAAATTGAATTATTACTGTATTTATCATTTTATCAGTAATGTACAAATATGCATTTGAATCTGTAAAGTAGTTAATATAATATTTAATGTAACATTAACGCTAGTGTAATTAATTTTATATGATTTTTTTAATTAAAATATTTTTTAAATAAAAATAATTAAACAGAATAAAATTTTGAATATATATTTAAAACTGTAATGACTTCTAATAATTTACATAATCATTAAATAAAAATATAAATAGAAATTAATTTATTATTTTATTTGTCAATTTTTATATAGTATATAATTACATATTTTAATTTATAGTATAATATTATTTAATGCTATAGTGTAGTTAATCTTATACACATATGATAGAACTTAAACTTAGGTCTTAAAAATATAATTGATTAGTAATACTATCTCTTAGAAAAAAAGAAGAAGTTAGTAATTGTTACTTTAAAGATAATATTAAAAATAAACTGTGGCAGGGTTTGTTATCCTACTTCCACTTCTAATTTGCAACTTTTTATGCTTTTCAAATTTGTGATTATTTTATATATGTTCTTTTCAACAAGATATCTTAGCATCTTTTGAAGTTAATAATTTCAATATTGTTATTTTTTTAAAGAAATTAAAATTAATAAAATTTTAGTTGAGATTAATAATGTCTTAACAAGTTTAAATAAATTTATTTTATGGCCAATTAAGAAATTTAAATTAAATTAATAATTATAATTTATTAAGTAATTGTTTATATTAAAAGACCTAAAAAAATAAAATTTAAATAAATTAAATTGTAATATTTCAATAAATTCTTTTAAAAAGCTTCTTAAAATATATATCAGGTATAGACATACATTAGGTCACACTTGGGGTATTAAATGAGCAAATGGTGAGAAACATGTTATTGCCATCGCCGTTATAAGTTGGTGAAAATCCTATGAACCTCTTATATGTCTATGTCCATGGGATGGGAAAGAATAGGAGGGTATGAACTAATTTGAAAATTGCTTAGCAAAAGGGTTTAAGAATAGTAATTTAATATAATTCAACAATGATAACGAATAACATTTAATATAATTCTATCATTTTTCTGAATCAGAGGGTAGCCATAATGTAAACAAAGGGTTGGCAACTTGTTGAGCCAATACTTGTCATCGCTTCTCCTATTTGCCTATTTTTTTCATGGACCACACTCCCACTTGCACCCATTTTCAACACTTTAAATATGAGAAACATTAAGATATCCTTCAAATGCTAATAATCAACAAACAAGAAGAATTCAAATAAACAAGAAGACCCATGTTTTCTCCCTTCTCTCTCTTCACCCTTGCCTGGAACAACGTATTTAAAATGTTCCTATATTCAAATATATTAAGATCAATGTAGAAAAGGTGCATCCTCTTGTACGTCACATTAAATGTCTTGATTCCTCCTTCACAAGTTGCAGAAACCTCCCTCTTCCTGAGAATGATATATGATCCATTCCTCTCTATTACCAAGGAATTGTCTATCTGATCATCGTTTTTACTGTCACCAAAAGTAGTATTAACCACTGTTTACTACCATGCCTGGAAAGCTAGCTGAAGTAAACACAATGAACTTGGCTTCTCATCCTCTCTTCCATTTTCGTCATTTAAATTCCCTGCCAATTTTTTGTTGACATGGGTTTGTATATATCATTTCTTTAGGTCATGTGGCCAGCATTAGTTGCTAGTAAGATACTCAACAAGAGACTCGGAAGCAGCAATTTTGTAGCAGATTATCCAAGTAATACAGAACCCTTACTGGGTATTACAAGTGATGATCACTCATCTCTCAGCGTCAAAACAATTCTTAATGATCACGAGGATACACAAAAGTGCAAGTAAGAAGAAAAATATTATCATACTAATTTTTTTATTATTCTTGGTGATACTCTTGTTCTGCATATAAGGAAAAGCTTATGGACTGCAGTATATACATATATATGTGTGTATAATTTGAGGTCCAATTATGTTCTGAGTTGTTGCTATTTTAATTATTTGTTCAAGTTTCTGACATCCTTTCTCTTTTCATTAAAGGGTTTTTATCAGCACGTGGAACGTGGGTGGGATTGCCCCAGATGAAGGACTGAATATGGAAGATTTGTTGGAGACATGCAACAAGTCCTACGACATATATGTACTTGGGTATGAATCGAGCTTCTTTTGATAGAAAAACAAAGTGATGATAACTAATAATATTATGCATGTGGTGGCATATGCTGAATCATTCTGAACCGTTTCACAATCCAGATTTCAAGAAATCGTGCCTCTAAAAGCATCGAATGTGTTGGGGTCAGAAAATAGTAAGATTTGCAGCAAGTGGAACACCAAAATCAGAGAAGCTCTGAACAAGAGGGAACACCAAAGTTGCAATTGCGAAGATCAACAAGATAGTAAAAATATTGGGTGCAATAAGGAAGGATATAATCCAGCTCAGCAGTGTGAAGCCCCACAAAATTTTCAGTGTATCATTAGCAAGCAAATGGTTGGTATATTGATATCTGTATGGGCAAAGAGTGACCTTCGTCCATTCATTCGGCATCCAAGTGTCTCATGTGTCGGGTGTGGCATCATGGGTTGCTTAGGGAACAAGGTGACCTAACCAAACCCCACTTAGTTCATATTCATTTATTAATTACTTTACCACTTCAAGATATTATTACAACATATGCATTTGTTTTGCACTTATAATTGCAATGTAACTATATGCTCTTCACTGTCAACATCAACTTCATTTAGTGTCCAATAGAATTGAGCTAACAATCTCACATCTTGATTGGTTATCTAGGAATTAATTAATTAATTTAATTAGTGTTTTTTTAATTTCCATTTTATTAAAATTAACTTTTGAACTGTGGTGGATTTGCAGGGTTCTGTATCTGTGAGATTTGTGTTGCATGAAACAAGCTTTTGCTTTGTGTGCAGCCACCTTGCATCTGGGGGTAGAGAGGGCGATGAAAAGCATAGGAACTCTAACGTTGCTGAAATATTTTCTAGGACAAGCTTTCCTAGAGGCCCTATGCTTGATTTGCCAGAAAAGATTCTTGATCATGAGTAAGCAATTACATTTGCTAGAAACCGTCCAACCAATCACCCTTAATCATTGCTTTTTGGTTTTATTTTAATAATAATTATGTTCCTTTCCCAACAAATCATGAAAACAAGGTGCCAATAATATTGAATAACTCTTTTGTTTTTTGTTTTCATTTTTTATGGCTGTTAAAATAAATAATTTGCTAATTGAAGCATCATTATGGCAACTCTCCAGCTCTAGCTGACCTTGTCCTACTATCTATATCTATATTGAAGGCCGCCAAAACACTTAAATATTGCTCTTTCTTGGCTTTTATGTTTGAATCTAAAATATACTCTTAATTTAATCCACTTTGAGAAGTTGTAAGGAATTTGTTTTGCTATTGTGGGACAGCCAGTTAAATTAACTTAGGAAAAGTTGCAAAAAGGCACCAAATAGAATAAAACAAACCTTAAAGAGAATATATTTGCAATTGTAACCTTTTCAAGATATAGAAATATATAAAATCAAAAAGGTAAAACCATTTGACCTCTTTTATTTACTCAATATTCAAATTGAATTTACTTTCTGCCGCCTCGCACTCAAATTATAAGCTATGACTTACATGTTGCAATAACTATTTTCACAGTTTAATTAATCACGCCCTCTCTTGTGCAGCCACGTAGTACTTCTTGGAGATTTAAATTACAGAATTTCTCTACCCGAAGAAACAACCCGGTCACTTGTTGAAAATAGAGACTGGGATTCCCTACTAGAAAATGACCAGGTATATATCTAAATAGATTATCAAGTGTTCACACATGTTCATAAAAAAGGAAAAAAATAGTTAATAATTTTGTTAAGATATTCTATGTTAATTAAGAATATGTTCAGAATATCCCTTATGAGACTTTAACAATTCTTCACCTATGAGTTAGGTTTTGTAGTTGAGTTAAGCCCAAGCTCATATTTAATATCATATAAGAGTTCATACACTTTGAATACTGAGTCACACATAGATATTCAATCATGTAAACTTCATACATTAGATGTTTAGTTTTAAACGTGAAAAGGGTGTGTAAAGATGTTCAACTGAAAATATGACTAAAATACTAAGTGTAAACACTATTAAAATGTTTATATATATAAAAAAGAAAACATCTGGAAATTGGTTTGTATGTTCTCTAATACGGATGGAATGAAAATGAAGCTAATGATGGAGCGAATGAGTGGGAACATGTTGAGGGGATGGCATGAAGGAGCAATCAAATTCGCCCCAACCTACAAGTATTGTCCGAATTCAGATATGTACTATGGCTGTTGTTATCATGGCAAAAATGCAGCCAAGAGACGACGAGCACCGGCATGGTAAGAAAAGTATATTATTATTATTACCCATAAAATAATATTTTATTTATATTAAAATTATTTATATGTTGAATAGATCTTTTATCTTTTCATTTTACTATTTCCCTCCTTAATACATTTTTCTCTCAATTATTATTTTATCATTTTCTTCACCATTATTTCTCTCCTTTTCTTAACAAGTGAATACAATAATAAAGAATATGTAAAAAAATAATATAATAGACAAAATAAAAATTAATGTTATCTATAAATTTATAATGATGGATAAATAATACAAAATTTTTGTTCCAAAACAATAAACAAAAATGGGCAGATAGAAAATACACACGCATATAACAGCAATAAGCACGAGACAAAGTATTAAAAAGATTGTATTTTGGTATTGATTTTAGGTGTGACAGAATCATATGGTTCGGCAACGGTTTGAAGCAAATTCAGTACGCAAGAAGTGAATCAAAACTATCGGATCACAGGCCTGTGAAGGCATTGTTTATAGCCGAAGTGAGGGTTTCAAGAGCACTCAAAAACTTCCAAAGCTTGTTTCTATCAGAGAGATTTCAACAAATTAAAAATCACTTTGAAGTTACTCCTGCTGATGAGTTTGTATTCAAAAAACAACCAAGTTTCCGGTGGTAATCTTTAGTGTTCTTATGTACATACACGTTTAGTTCGACGTCTCAAAACTATAGAAGTTAATTAAAGAAGAAATATAAGAAACTTGTGATGATAATTAGCTTCTTTTCTTTTTATTTTGTTGAGGGAATATTACAGTGGATTTGGTTGTTGTTTCTGAATTATCTAGCTAGTCTCCAAAAAGTTATCCAATAGAAGGTTGGAATATGTCATTTAACGTTAAAGAAATTACATATGTTACAATTTAGATAATTTTTTCAACAAATACAAGAGTTAAATATTAAATAATAAAATAAATCAAAATTCTCGCATGAATTAAAATTAACTTATATTTTTTAAAAGTTATGTTGTTATTCTTTTTTAATTTTAAAAAAGTTATTTTAAACTTACATAAAAAATTATTCATTTTTTATATTAACTTTTTCCTTTATAAAAACTCATCTAAAAATTTACACAAAACTAAACCACAATTTCAAAGCATTTTCTTATATTTGAAACTTCGTCATTCTAATAAACTTCCCTTAAATCCACATTGTAAGATTCGGCTAGTGGTGGGAGATTTACATAGATTGCACGTAGACCGTTGTTTCGTCCGATAACTGTATTATCACGACAAATATATATATATATATATACCTACCAAAATACAAAAAATCAAATAAAAAAAGTACTGTATATGTAATATGAAAACGTGAGAATCAAATATAATGAAGGATTCCAGCTGGGTGATATTAAAATGCATTAAAAAATTGGAGACGATAAAGTAAAAGCCAATTATTGAGCAAGTTTACTATTACAGGTGGTGTCACAAATTCTATTATATTTGATAAGAAGTGGGAACATCACTCTCTCTTGTCCTCAATGCATGAAAAGCAGCAAAATTAGCTATACATGATTTTTGTTTTCAAGGACATGAAGCAATTATTATATCCATATTTTCTTAGAAATATCATTTTATAAATGCAACTTGTGAGAGAAAAAAGAAAGTTTAGTGGTGCAGTAGCTTTCAACACTTTGAACGCAAAACTAATAAGAAAAAGGGTCGTGTGTTAGAGTTATAATAAAAGAATGCTCTAACCCCATCCGATGGGAATATAGATTCGTAAACCCACTCCAGAACGCTGCCTCTCCTGTTGCTGTTATTAGTTGCAACTTGCTTTTCAATTATTTTATAGACAAAACCTGCTTTCCTTAACAAATCAATTTAAACTTTCACAGTTAATATTTGAACAAAAAGCAAGTTGCTTATATCCTTATATATATATATATATATATATATATATATATATATATATCTTTAATATCAATTCTGTTAAGCATATGTAGATCATATCATTTCATTGTAAAACTTGGTGGCAACAATATTAAAAAAAAAGAGTCAGAGTATGTTTGATTACTATTTTAAAAACAGCTTTTTTTTTTAAAAATAAAATATAATATAAATTTGTATTGAATTTTATTTTTAAAAACAAACACTCTCCTTCCTGATTCCCTATAAGTTAATACTAATTAACTTTCTTGGATATGAAACTACACCTTTCTTTCCTGATTTATATTATTATAATATGTTGCAATGGAAATATTTATAGTTTTCTTATAATTGCTTAGGATTGAAAAATGATTTTGAGTGCATATCAATAGTAAATGTGTAAAATATTGAATTTATGCATAGCATGTTGAATGAGAAGATTTTTGCGGTAATCTGTATCAATTTTTATATTAAATGATGTCCTGATTTTTATCTTAATTTACTCTTTGTTGTAGAGTCATTTGAAAGGCTAAATACTTGAATATGAAGAATACATGGTTTATGAGGGTATGTATGGCTCTTTACATGGCTACAAAAGAGGGAGTGAACTTTGAGAACATATTTTAACCAAAGTGTGTGAGCATTCAACAAATTTTTTTTACCAAAGATTCTTGATGAAACTTGAAAATATACACTAACTAGAAACATGCATGGACAACATGACAATGGTTTTCTAAGTATATCAATAGTTTTATCTTACTTCATTTTCTATATTTTCTTTTTTATTAAACAATTTGACAAACACTATGTACAGATTCAAACCAAGATGAACACAACGAATATGATAAACACTGACGTTTATATATTTTAATTTAATTTAAACAGTATTTTAAATCCTAAGGAAATATATTGATAACATGACAAACGTAAACATTAAAACTGTCAGAAAAGAGAAACACCAACGTCATTGACAAAGACAAACATGAATAGGAAAAATATTTTCTACATCAGTTATTATGAACAACTGATGTAAAAGTGACATTTTCTACATTGATTATTAACAATCGATGTGAACTTTCTACATCGCTTGCATCTATATTGGTTGCAGAATCGACGTAAAATGTCTTTTTTAGCCGATGTAAAAAGTGTAACACCCTCTTTTTCATTATTTAGAAAATTATGTTTTGTTGGATATTAGATAGCATTTAGATGTGTTAAGAGTATATTATGAAGTGTATTAGGAGAGGTTAGTGTAGGGAATCTTGCTTAAGCGAGATGATTCTTACTCAAGCAAGAGAGGATAAAATTAGCCCAATTATCACCTCGCCCAGGTGAGAGTGATCTCGCTTAGGCGAGATGAAGATCTTGCCCAGGCAAGCTGTGTCACTCAGGCGAAGACTCACAGAAGAAATATCGCTCTTTCTAGTCGCTATCTCGCTCAGGCGAGATGGAGCTCGCTTAAGCGAGCATATCAGAAAAATGTTAGAAAAAGCATTGTTTGCATATCTTGCTTAGATGATAGACCTATTGCTCAAGCAAGATGTCGTCACTCAAGCGAGCTATTCCTCGCTCAAGCGAAAGCGTGCGAGGTTGAGGGATATTTAAGGGATTTTCAGCATGAAAATTTCATTTCATTCAAACCTACGTTCCTCTATCATTTCCTCTGAACTTTCTCTTCCATATCACAGATAAAAGTCTTAGAAACTCCAAAACTTCACGGAATACGAGTCAAACTTTGACTCTACGAAATTGTTGGTAAGTACCTTAGAGCTCAAACCTCTCATTTTTATTTCTATCTTTTCTATTTTCTCTTTACTCAAAGAATACTCTTTTCTATAAGGTGTAGAACTACCTTGGCCTGTGAACCACTCTTCTCTCACTTTCTCACTACTAAATTTGTCTCTTAAGGTAAGGAGAGCTTTATCTTATTACTAAGAAATTATTGTGATAAAATATTTGATTTGAGTAGATGCTTGATGATAATATGTTTTTGTTATGCTTGAAATATGTTTTGTGATGTGTGATAAAGTATATGACCCTATTTTGAGTATATATGCATGTATGTTATGGACTCAGTTCGAGGGTGATCTACTCTTGGCAATAATTGATTAATGTATGAGGTACTAATAAACTAGAGTAAAATATAGAGAGATGAGACTGAAGACATAGAAAAAGAAATAAAATAAGAAAGGAATATGATAAGAACGAGTATGAATAGTTCAGAGGTACACTAGGAGTGTGGAAGATGGAGAAGACTGAGAAGTTTTGAGGAAAATGAGGGTGGTGGATACTCCTCTTGAATTACGCAAGACAAATGAAGGTAGGAGCACCACATGCCTTACACTTGTTTCCTGACTAATACTCCTGACCATGCTTTTGCTAAAAGGGGCCGGGTCGGCACACGTTGTATCTGTATAGCTGCGGCTACCCAGCAACTATCTATGCTAAGGAAGACCTCGAGGGATCCCATGGGCAGTGAAAGAAAGAGAAATAAAAGTTTTAAGTAACAAGGAACTTAATTAGAGTGAGTAGATAAATTAATGATATGCTTATATGATGATTGTGTGATTTCTTTATCTGTATCATTGATTTATTTGTGATGTGTTTGGTAATATGAATAAAGACTCATCCTTACATAAAACATTTTAGGGAACCAGGATGACAGCACTTAGAGAGAGAATTAGGCTTGTAGATAGTTCTGCAATTAATAGACTTAATTATGTATTTAATGAGTATAAGAGAGTATGTTACTTTAGGATTGCTATACATGTTAACAATGTGCCTAGGGATATTATAATGATGGAAATGAAATTAGCTTATATTGTCTCTTTTGATTTTTCTGTAAGTAGAATCCATTATACTCTTTGTGTATATATATTTCCTAGCACTATGAGGACTCCAGCTGCCTCGACCTATCTGTTTACATACCATGATTATGACCACCTTGGAAGACTATCTCGGTGGATATTTGAGCGGATTACTGGTACTTACTGCAGACTCGGGTGATTTGTATATCAAATCGGATGATGATCTCGACTCCGATGATATTGCAATGACAGAGGGATGGTACGGGGATGATTAGTGTCTCTCTGGTCGTGTGAAGAATAGACTGCTAATTAGGACTTACTATATTTTTTATCTTGTAAATATTGGAAAAGAGTCGTAGTGTACTTTAATGTATTTTAATGAATATTTTGTAAATATTAACATCTTGTATATTACAAGAATAATGTATGTTTATGTTATTTTAATGTTTCCTCTTCAAGTTTTTTTAATCATTATTGTTTTGATATTCAAAGTTATTATACGTTCAAGCAAAATTATAATTTTTCACTTGTTATTTTTGACCGGTAATAAATTTAACTAATTTTTTATTTTATTTCAAAATTATATTCTTACTATGTTGAATAAAAAAATAAGGATGTTAAAAAAAGCTTTTTTTCTACTAGTGCGTCAAGTATAGAGGTGATCAACATGAATTCTTTTGAGAAGATATTGTTGAGATCAAGACCCATGAAATCAAAATTCAATGAATATTTTGATGGAGAAGGTGGTCATAAGCACCAGGATGATAATTATGGAGATAAGAAAATAATTAAAAGAGGAAGAGAATAAAGTGTCATAGATATAGTTTGAATAGATAAAAGAAATGAACATAAATGTAAATTCTCTGTGAGCAATTCTTACTATGCATTGTTGTCTCAAAATATTCTTGATTTGACAAAGGATTTTGGACACTGCGAAGGAACACTGA